GATCCATCCATAGTAAGTGAGGTAATGGTAAAGAATGGCCATAAAATGCAAAACTGAAAATTTGCATGGACCTAATGAGCCTCCATACCAATTTTGGTGAAAATCCATACACACCCTGAGAAGTAGTTACATGGACAGACAGTACTATTATATATATATATATATATAGAGAGAGAGAGAGAGAGAGATAGATAGATAGGTAATTACCTTATTGTGATGCACATAACATGGAAGGATTATGCTACACGTAATTTCCTGTATGTGGTACATGTAATTAATTAACACATGCATACCGAGGAGAATTATACTGCATATGACAGAATACTTTTCTTATCCAAGGGTTATATATATTTTCACACCTGAAAATAGTCCTTTGATATGGTTGACAACTCAACAAGTGCAACATGAAAACACCTATATGTATGTGTGTGTGTACCTTTATATACTTACAGGTATTATAGAAGTTATGTGAATTTAACAAATAAAAGCAAATGAGCATAAAACTCACCATCTTCTTACCCCTGAGGGTATTTTATACTTCACACAATGCATTTTGTATTTCTGTATATTTCATATTTTTAATCTTGTTGTCTTAATTATTATACATATATTATGAAAAATGACTATAATATTGTAAATTTAAATATTTTCTAAAAGATCTAAATTGTATGAAAAATTATGTCTTGTATAAACATTAAAAAAATTAATTAAAACTTTTACTAACTCCACAAGAAAAAACAAAAACAAACAGGATTCCTGCAAAGGTTTTCTGTGAATAGGTTACACAAGTACATACATGTATTACTAGTACTAGTGTATCTATTCAAACAGCACTGATTTATAATGAAAAACAAAATAAGAAACACACATATTCCAAGTATGCAAACAAAATTAATACATGAACCAATTCTTATGAAAGTTTGTAGCTACTAGCTAGTTGAGTGTTTATTTAAATGGACAGATATTACTTCGATGACACAGGATCTTACCTGATGTATCCATAACTTCTCCTATTGTAATTCTGCAATATTGTAAAAATATATACAACATTAATTTTAGAATGTGAAATTTTGTACTTACATGCATTTGTGTAACACCTTTTTTTTTTATTATATTACCAAAAACTTATTCTTAGATTCCATCAGCTTAGTTCATGCTTTAGTAAGGTACTAAGAAAAGAACCCGATACAAATATTCTTTCTGCAATTTTATTTAACAAACTCGTGGCATTTAAGTTAAATGAACCTTAACATCTGAACATATGACTATTGTAACTTATATATATACCTGAATACTTTCTTGACTGACTTGAGAAATTCCCATTTTAATCAGAAACAATAAATGTAGTTGATAATATGATGTTATTGCATTATAAATGTTCCCATAAACACACTAAAATTAAAGATATTATCTATAATAGAAAATAAAATAATATTTTAATTTGTATAATCCAAATTTATAATCAAAAAAAAAAAAAAAAAAGGCTTAGCAAAATGAGATTAATTTTGTTTCCTTAACTCAAAAAGACAAACACCCAGTATATTTTCTTAGCAAATTACCTAGTGTGTTTTATAAATATTTATATATAAATACATTTTTGGAAGAAGCTTTTCTACAACTTGCTTACAAACAGCATATAGGTGAGCATGTATATCTGTAGAACAAGTTTAAAAAAATTAATTACATATTTGGTTATTTAGTACACTCACTGTAGAAAAGTGCATTTTGTTGTTTTTAATTAAAACTTTAACAACTACTTATGTACAAATATTTAACATAGTTTAACTATAATAAACACAGAAATTCAACTTTAAGGATTACAAATAGCTTATTTTGTGAGTATTATTGGTTTCAGTGGTGATAATAAAGACAAGGATAAAAAATGACAAAGAAAAAAACAATGTAAAATAAGTCAATCAGAAAAAAAAGACAAAATAAAATTACAAAACAGGTAAAAAAAAGTAAAAAAAAAGTTCTATATTTTAAGAATGCTATAAAATGAAAAATTCTGAAAGTTAACATTTTCCTAAACTGAAAATGTATTTCCAATAATACTTACCTCCGCTCACACTATAGCTATTTCTCATTTTCCAAGGTTTCCACTCTTTGCCCATCTAAGCATTGAAAACACTTGCTACAGTCTTTTATACCCCACTCAAATGCCCAAATTCAATGCACCCTCTATCTAGGTACTGTATATAAGCACCTCACTCAGATAATATAATCAGTTTTTTGAGACATAAACCACCTTTTAGTGGGGAGGTAGGGTGTGAGAGTGTTAGCAGAGGTAAGTATTATTTGAAATACATTTTCAGTTTAGGAAAATGTTAACTTCCAAAACATACTTACCTCTGCTGACACTATAGCTAGAATCCCACGTTGAGAAGACAGATGGGCCTGGGGCCAGTACAGGCATGAACCATACAGAAAGCGTCTATATGGAACGAAAGTGTACCAAGATAAAGACAGTACAGGTATGCTCTTCACCAGAAACTTAGTTCCTATATCAAAGGTGGTATAGAATACGAGTAATCATCAGTATAGGCCAGCCCCAACCAGATACCCGAGGTTCCACATCTCAGGGTTGGAATTAAGAGGTTGTGGTACCTATATCCCACGTTGGTGACTAGGGCTGTTGGACTGCAAAGTTATATATACTTTTGATTGGATTCCAACCTGTAGCCATAGAGTGATGCGTTTCGCACCACCAGAATCCCAATGAGAAAGTAAGCAACACTGAACTGGACAAACTTTCTCCTCGATGTGAAAAAGTCCAAAAGGCAACAGCCCAGGCTCAGAACGACAGGATCGTGTATGCTGTACTGAACCAAAGGAACAGAAATCATCCGGTCTGAAATTATGAACATTCAACCCCCAACCTAGTGGGCAAAGAGTATTCCACTTTCCCCTGGAATTATGGAGAGAACATGGAACCTCTGCTCAACCAAAGACCTAGGATGGGACCACACCACATTCAGTATTATGAGGAGATAGTGGACCTTTGTCCATGAACAATATACAAAAATGACATGTACCCCCCCAACCAGATAGCTTCTTGTCAAATCTGATCCCGAATTACAAGTAGGCTCCTGAGGAGGCTGGTGCCACTCCTACTGTACTGACATCTGGAAAAAACACCCAGGGACCTGAGTAGGAGGGTCCCCAACTTTGCCGTCTTCTACAAGAGTGGAGGAACACACACAAACAATCAGGATGAAAAGCCTTTGTCCACCACCCCAGCAACTGGAGACTGAGGTGGTTAGAACTCCCAAGCTCCACTAGTAGAGTTTAGGGGGGGTATATGCATTGACGAGTCCTGAGGAACAGTTCTTTGCAAACTGTGAACCAAGTTTCTTACATTTTTAAAAGCAAACCAACCCCGATTTACTCAACCTGAAGATCTGTAGGGATGGGCAGGATCCCCTTTAGCTTTACTCATGATAGTCCATGAGTGGCAATCCATAATAATCAGGTAATACCATCAGATAGGTGCCTAGATGGCCTTATGGAACACCCCATTTCAACAGAGCCTGTTGCAATCTGTAGAAACTATAGTGAAAGTAGTTACTAGTGCAGAATTGAAAAGAGAAAGGTTACTTGCCTGGGCAACACTCACCACAGAGTGGGATCCAGTGAAATGATAAAGGGTCCCTGGAAAAAAAAAGAGTATATGATTGAGGAAAATACTCACCTCTGGTAAAACATTTTTAACAGATGTGGTCAAATTAACTATTAGGGTTAGTCAAAAACTCTCAGAAGAGGAAACTGCCAGATCATGTAAGTACTGTGACGAAAAGTATTAGTAGTAGTCCACATACCAGACTGCACAATGTCTTCCAGAGGTCAATTCAACTGGGTGGTTATTGATATAGAGATATGATAAATCTGGGGAGATGATACATAAAAGTGTCCACTCCTGTAACTATAATCCATTAAAGGCCTTGTGAATAAAGTTACAAAGCCACCATGTTAAGATAATGGGATACGAGTCTCAGGAAAAAGAAGGATTTCAATGAATGAACAATTGATTCCTACTACCTCAAAATGAGTTAGTACAAGCTACATAACTCATGAGGATCTAACAGGACATAACAAACAGTCGGGATTGGAGCAGTAACAAAGGTGAGAAAAAGGCTAGCAAATGTATTGGTGAGAAGGATCTTTCCCTTACCCTAGCTGTCAGAGTCTTAGGAAGGAAATACCTATTGGGGTAAATTAGTACAAATGTGGAAAGAAAAAGTCCAAACCACATGAATTGCAAATAACTTCAACTGATGACATCTAAAAGTCAACAACAACAAAAGACACAATATAAAACAACTGTAAAATCCCAATTCGGTAATTGAAAATGTCATCAAGGTCAGAGAATATGATATTTGGAATACTAAAAGATAGTGGATGAGGATGCTTTATATAAAGCCACTATAAGCAAAGCAAAAGCCCTCACAAATACCAAAGTCATAAAATGGGATATGGTAGATACTTTAAAATGAAAATGGTGAAAAATCCTTTTAATATATCACTGACAATAAGTATGCCATTTATGTTGATAAATGGTTGTGGTTGGCCTATGGAAAGATTTAGTTAAGTACGGAGAAACTGTAGAAGTTAAACCCTTATGTTGGGCAAAGGACTGCATAACTTCCAAGAATGAATATTGAGTTTCCGAACATCTGGATGGAGAATGTCTGATTGAGATTGTCTCTGAGACTGCCAATGTGCAAGAGAAAGATATACCTATAGATACCAAAGAAGCATAAACCAGATTTGAGCTGGTCAATGTGGTGCAACCAAGTTAACTCAACAGGGAATGGAGTGAACCATAGTCAGAATCCAGGTCAATAGCTGAATTGGGGGAAAGACATACAGTTGTAAACCTGTCCAGTCCTGACTAAATACATTACTGCCAATGCATGACGTAATGGAGACCAAAATTGAGATCAAATTCACTGAAAAGCCTTGTAATGCATCAACCATTCTGTCAGAAGAATCCAGTTGGACTGAGACAAGTGATCTGCAGTTAAATCCACTCCTGGAACATGACATGCTAAAACACTGATACAATGGAAAAGAGCCCATAGAGAAGATCCAAGGTCTCGAGAATGTGTGCCTCCTTGATGAGAAATCTGAGATACCACTTGAACCTCAGCCCGGTGTACTGTAAGGAGTTTGAGAATGTTGATATGGAGGGTAGACTCGTCTTCCATCCAAATACCTTGGAACTCCTGACCTTGAAGATAAGTTCCCCATCTCTGAACAGATGCGACTGTGAACAGACGGATCTTTGGATGAGGTGGTGGAATGGTTACCTTAAAAGTATTGTTGTTCCAATCTAATCACCATTCCCAATCAACTGTGTTGCTCCTGAGTAAAGAGACAAGATTTCCCAAAGAATTGGAATGCATGATCCATTGGTCATGCAGTGACCAATGAAGGGACCTCCTATGTACTCATCCCAAAGGAAGAAGAGGCTCAAGAGCTGCCAACATCCCCAAAAGAGAAAGAATCATCCATGCATTAGAAAAAGGAGACATAAGAAAAGCCTGATGGCTCTTTCCCAGGTTTGAGCCCTAATAGTAGTTGGTTGAGCACAACTGAAATAAGTATTGAAAAACACATCCAGATGTACGAGATATTGCGTCTGTGACAGAATAGATATCTCCCATTGAATAAGGAAGCCCACTTTTGAGGCTTCTGAAAGGAGAATCTTAAAGTGTTGTTTCTGCTAAATGACGGGATGGCGCTAGAAGAAGCCAGTAGTCTATATAATGATATGTGTACAGGTCCAAGGAATGCAGATGACAAGAAAAAGCTCAAACAACTCTGCAAAAGACATAAGGAGCTGATGCAAGATTAAAAGGTATAGCCCTGAACTGCAGAACCTGACCTTTGTGCATAAATCAGAGAAACCTCCAGGAAGATTCCACTGTGGGAATATGGAGATAAGCATCAGTAACATCGAACGTAGTCATCCAGAGCCATGATGCAAAGTGTCATCACAGGTTGAGAAAGGATTCCATAGAAAAGAGAGGAGAATCTAAAATTGGTTGAAATGATGATTGGATGCCAATCTCCTGGATTCTTGGGTACAATGAATAATCGGGAATAACATCCTGGGAGAACTGTACCAACCCTCTCTACTGTCCGTTTGGCTAACAACACTCTTATAGCATGGGAACGAAGCTCCACTCATTGTGAATATGTTTGAGGTGAAAAGGCAATAGGTTGTGCAGATAAAGGTGGAGGAGATGTAAATTGAATGACCAACCCTGAATCCAGAACTTGGACTTCCTATGGATCCCTGGTGAAAAACTACATATGTCCAGAGAGTGATGTGAACATGCTCCTACTGCTCCCTTGCCCACAGGAGAGACACCAATGCTGTTGTTGAAAAAGAAGGAAGTAAACAAGTTGGATGAAATCTTTATACTAATGTCTCCGGAACTCCAGCAAACAACGTGGAACGAAAAAAGAGAGCTTCCCGAAACTCCCTGAGGGCAGAAGACAGTAAACGAGCACCTTCTAACAAAGAACCTCTGCCCAATAAATCTCAACAGAAGAAGTCAGTTTGACTGAGGTAGACATCAGTAAAATCCCAACTTCATCCTCAATTGTGGAGGGAAATATTGATAGGCTTCCAACAAAAGTTAGATTGAAAATAAATACCTCAGGACAGTCGTGAGAGTAAGACGAATCTTAGAACTGTGATCTGTTTAAAGTGATCACAAGTTACAATCAAGACCCTTCCCCCCAAGGTCCAAAAGGGGAGTCCATTCGTTGAGAATCTAAATATACCTCCTCTTGGTGGTGATAAGCCAAACCATACTGTGCTGCTAAATGTGGGGGATAAGGCATAGCTATCCCATCGCGTAACTGAGTGACAAATCTCCCAACCTGAACAGCAATATTAGGAGGAGGAAAAACCAAGTAGTCACTTATTGTCCTTTCTGCGGAAGGGGTAGAGTCAAATGCAATAGGAGAGACACCCAAAACTCACCAACCTGAGTAACCAACTGAAGGCAAAGAGGCTTGAGGTGGCTGATCAAAAAGATCCTCTGTTGAGGCCGACTTAGTAAAAGAAGGAGGAGCCAGAAAAAGCGAGCCTGAATCCTCCCCAACTGGTTCAGGTGATTTGCAAAAGGCACCTCAGAATGCCCCAGAGAGACATCCATGTTCTCCATATATGTGTGTCCATCTCGCAACTGATTATATCACAGACAGCATCGATTGAGAATGACCCCTCTCCCAGTCATTGACAAGCATACGATAACAGAGGTGGAAGAAAAGAGGTCTGAGAAGCCTCCATAGTAGAAACATTAACTCGAGAATTCATACCCATCAGTACATTTTTTTATTATTACTGTTATTATAATTTAAATAATTTATAAATAGACAAAGATACAACTGTAGTTACGTAAACCATGTTTAACGTCACAAGGTAAGTTGTGTATAATTACGGCACTCCTATTTAGAGAAACCCATGGCAAATGCTTCATCGAGAAAAACTTATTATATTATCTGAGTGAGGTGCTTATATACAGTGCCGGGAGAGAGGGCATTGAAGTTGGTGGATAATTTTGTAAATTAGAATTTACCAAGGGCATTTGAGTGGGGTATAAAAGACTGGAGCAAGTGTTTTCAATGCTTAGATGGACAAAGAGTGGAAACCCTGGAGATCTAGAAATAGCTATAGTGTCAATAGAGGTAAGTATGTTTTGGAATAAGCATTTTACTTTTTATTATCACACAGATGCATAAACCCTGTAAGACAAAGTAAATTACCCAAACAAGTAAAAAAGTAAAAAAAAAGGTTTGTTTACATGGCTTCAATAACTGGCTTAAGCTGTTAAAAAAGAGAAAGAGAGAGAGACTTGTATTCCAGATCAGACCAAACAAAGAAAGGCCTGATCTAAAATACCAAAACTAAACTCCCAACATCATTTTTGAGATAACTTGCTAAACTAAAAATGAAACTCTGTTAATATGCCTAATCTGTAATGTAGTAGTTCTGCATTTTGCATTTTAAATATTAACAGAGCTTTATAGGCAAATAGTATATTATAATAAAATTTAAAAATAGATCTTACTTATATGATTTACAAACACTATAACAAAGAAATGTAAAGTATACAAGATCATCACTCGAAGTTCATAAATTTACATCTTTGAATACATACCTTTCTATCACCAGGGGCTGGAGAATCAGAGTTCACTGACATAGTATGAGAAGTTGTTTGGACAGACCTATTAATAATAATAAAAAAAGCTGGACTTTTAGAACATAAAAATAATTGTTTAACAGATTATATTACAATTAAAGTTACCGATCAGTTTTCAAGTTTTCTTATTTGTAATAAAGTTAAAAACCACTGAAAATATCCAAGATATCATTATATAATTTCTTTAACTGAAAGTCCAGAGCCGGCCTTAGTCATTTTAGAGCCTTAAGTAAGGTACAAAATATGGTGCCTCTTATAGTAATCAACAATAAAACAATATGATGGAATCCATTAATCTAGTATTAAAATAGATCGATGTGGTCCACTCGTTAATGCGTAAACCATTTTGTTTTGAAGTTCTGCAACTTCATCACTTATAAAAATATTTATGCTGGTCCCTTATAGCAAGGAGGCCCTAGACAGCTGCCTTGATCTGAAGTCTTAGTACTGGCTTAACCCTAGATAATACTTATATATTTATATGTAAGTATTATCTTCTATAAGTATCTAACATATATACTTATATATATGTACTGTATTTTAACAGATTTCATTCCAAAAAAATAACCCAGACTGCTATGATGATTTCTCACTCTGTTAAGCATTATATATGAAGTTGCTTGCATTATTTTTAGGCTTGAATACATACTACATGTCCATGTCAAAAAATTCTGAAATATTTACAAAAATATACATATATAGAAACATGTACACTATTTTAAGTACTCATATGTACATATACATCAGGGTTACAAAACATGTCATTTAATCAGTCCTGACCAGCTAGAAGGCCCTGGGCCAACTAGAATAGCAAAAGAATAATCTACTCAGCCCAACATGGTCAATTAGAATTTTAAGTATTCTTCTTATTTTACCTCAACATCAAATATGCATTTCTATTATTTTCCCCTAAAACCATAGTTGTGTTTTTGTGTCATGATAGTATCTTCCCTATTCAATCTCTCAAATGGAGCCTCTAGCTTTCTGGGGATCCCTAGCCTATTTTTGATTATTATGGGAAATCACTATATGCCCAAAATAAAAAAGGAGACTCCTGGAACATGTGAATGCCAGGATCAATCCAGATGAAGTGTGATAAATATTAACAGTTCAACAGAGAAATATCTGACTTTTTGGTCAGTTTTAAAATAGCAACCTTAAATTGTATTTTTGTGTTCATCTGATTTAATATAAAGATTATGTACATTCCATGAGTGATATAATCAAATAACTCAATTAAAGTTTTGTTTAATGTTACACATATATATATTTTCAATTGTGTCTTTCTTTCAAAAATTATTTCTGTAATTGATAAAAAGGAATTAAAAAAATATATACATGTTCTTGGAGTGGACCAATTAGAAAATTTACAAATTTTGGACCCTGATATATATATAACACACACAGCATACATCAACATACCTATCCACATACACAATCTTAGTGTGTGTGTATATATATATATATATATATATATATAAACAAGTAACAACAATGTATTCACTAAATTAGATGATAAACTTCACTTTTATTGATGTATATTAAAATTAAATACTTCAAAAACCCACATGAACTATTTCTTTATATTTAATTCAACTGAAAAAAACAATTCACCTTTTAAATTTGTTATTACAATCAACTCTATCATTTTCAAACTCTTGATGAAAACAAATCATAATAACATTTATAAATACATTAATATAAATTATATCTCAGCACTTTATGGTTAAGGCTGTAACTATATGGTACCTAAAAAAAAAAATTCAATTCAAATTCCAATTACTCCTAAACTTAACTTAAGTACAACAAAATTCAAGAATAATAACTAAACAAAATCTTAACAGCTACTTACGCAGGCGCAGCCGAACACCAATGACAATGTCGTTATGGTTTAGGCTAGTGACAGTTGTGTCGTATTATTGGTATTATGTATACCTAAATGTGACTTGTGTATACGAACTAACATGATGCATTGATGGGGAGAAAGAGTAAAAAAACACACTTCTGTATAAATTGTGATATTGTAAAATTAATAATAATAATACACGAAAGCGGTCTAGAAAGCGTAGAGCTTTATCGATCAGTACTTTTGAAGCATTTGTCGACCGTTTCGTTTGTGTAATAAGGTTAATTCAAAACTAGCCAACTGGAAATACACTAAAACTTGTAACTAAAACTAAAAGTTACTAACGCGACATTTGTACATAATATAAACAAAATGGAGTATATTAAAGTAATCGCCCCCTAGCGGTTTCTACGTTTTGTAGCAAGATGATTCAGATTAATATATATTATTGTCGTTTTTATACATGATTAAATATTTATCTCCGATCTGTTGTAAGAATGGAGCAGATACTGAATGTTCAGTTTAATTTTCTCTTTCTCTTTGTCGGTGTTTATCTTTTGTTCCGTTTTCTTCTTTTTTTTCATGTTTGCTCTCGTTCAGTTGTTATGTGCTGGTTTTAAGTGAAATTAATTAAGAGGATGCGTTTTCAAAATGTTATAAAGAAACGCTTTCTTAAAACTAAGTAAATTAATTATTACAGATCAAATAAAGTATAAAAATTTAGAGAGAACATATCATTAGCCTGATTTCATCAGCTGTACCTCACGACTTTTATAGAAAATTTTTAAATGTAAGAACAAGAGATGCCTAAAATACACATATAAATGCATATATATATATATTTATTTTGCCATGTTATGGTGTTAGATTTTTTATCTCTAGAAGATTAATATTTTTTATACTTTAATAATTTTTGTTTCAGATAAATCAAACAAACAACCATATATAGGAGCTTACCCAGAGACCGGATTAATGAACAGTCTACCAAACTACAGTTTTCCTCCTTCCCCATAAAATTACAGACCCATAAAGAGTCAGGAAAAACGTTTCTAGTAGTCAATGACTTTATCTGCTGTTCATGATTTATAATTTCTGTTTTCTGATCCTTTCCTGAATATATCCTTTTACCAAATATTTCTTACAAGTGGAAAGCTCCTTGTTTAATTTATTTTGTAAAAATTTATACATTTATCACACAACTCTTTGCAACCCACTACGTTTACATTTTTTAGTCAAAAGTTGAACAAGTTATGAACACGAAAGAAAATATAAGACAAATGTGTTTCACATTTTACCAGTTTCAATCATACTCTACTAACAAATGTACTTCACATTTTTACCTGCTCAATCACACTCTACTAACTGACTGCAATGATTTGGAGAAATAAGAAATGATACTATTAATATATTGAGTGCTTTTTAAAGTTTATAAGATAGAATTGAAATGACTATCCACAACGTCAATGAAAAACGATTTTGTTTAATTAACTGTGATTTCAAAGAATGAAGCATAGCAACACGTTTAACAGAAATCCAAACAAAAACAACGAACCTAAAGCACTTAGCAAATGATTTGATGACTTAGCTACTATTATATGTATAAATTTGCTTCCAAATAACAAAATCCAAGCTAAGAGTACATGGTTTTAGGCAACGATGAATGCCTCCCCTCCCGCTCCAGTGGCTCAGCAGTAAGTCTGAGGGCTCATACCATTAAAACCCATGTTTCGATACTCATGGTGGGCAGAGCACAAATAGTCTATTGTGTAACTTTGTGCTTAACAGTAAAAAAGCAGCAGTGACATTCTTAACAAAGCTCATATATACACGTACAACAAAGGATTTTACTCATGTGTGAATGTGATTTATAATACACTTTGCTTTAAAAAAAGGAAACTACATACATCCATTGTTTTGATGGTTGTAAAAAACGAATATATGTTAAACATGAAATCACAAATAATATTCAACGTTAAACTGGTACACAATTAAAAGCATTTTATTTAGGCTTATCTATGGCTTTCAAAAAGTTGAAGACTCTACATGTTTCGACGTTACAACGTCATCCTCAGGACTTCGTTAGTATATAAGCCTGGCACAGGAAAGCCAGGTGATGATAAAGCGAACAGTATTTACGGTGAGTTTCGAGTAATTTACGATTCTGTTTCGAGCTAGTGTGTATTTTGCACTCGTAGAGAGCAAATTTATCGAGATTGTGAATCGCTGTGATTTATAGGGTGTATTATAAAGGTTGTTAAGTTTAAAGTGACGAGCAACGCACTGACTGTGGAATTACTGTGTACTAAAAGTTTGTATCGAGAAAGAATAAACTGGTTTAATCAAGAAGGGACTTGTATCGCTGAAGTTCCTCGGAAAGAATTTATACCGGAAATTAAGAAACAAGCAGATAAGTAACAATACTTATAAAAGCGGATACTCTGTTTGAAACTATGTCACCTCAGTGAAATTGATTGACACCATTTGTTTTGATTTTTTAGTTATCATGTAATAAAAAAGGAAGTAGAAGAAAGAATAACAAGAAATTCAAACTTTTTGTTATAATATTGTTGCGTCAGCGAGTCACATGACCACGTGACGCAACGTTTCTAGAATTATCATGTACTTTCGGGAATGCTCTAGTAATTGCTCGATGTAGGGTGGGCTGGTATATATAAAGGAGGGGAATGTGAGGTGGGTAGATAGATAGTGAGTAATTGATCTGCGGTCGGAGTATTATTGACGTTCGTTGCTATAGCGTTTGTTTAGCGCGATTGTTGAGTGTATCGGTTAAGTTATATTCGGAAAGAATAAACCAGTTTTATTAAGTAAAGGCTTGTGTCGCGTAAGTTTCGTCGGTACGAAGTTACGGAAAATAAGTTAATTAAAAAACGGAAACGTAACAATATAATATGCAATGCCTTCTTTTTTCTTGGTTAACTTTACGATGGTGATAATTTTTTTAAGGTGAAACCTACTATCATTCATAACATTAGAAAATGAGAACAAAAAATGAACAACTATAAAAAGTATATTTAAAATCATATAATAAAATTTAGTTGTTCGCTTTAGAATTATTACTGACAGAAACTGCATATTACAGCTAAGGAAAACTTGAATCAGATATTTCAAATGTTTATAATACCTAAAACTTTCTAGGTGCTTTCGAAGAATATTGTATTTAACAATTGTTCAAGTAAAATGCTTTAAATATATTTAA